CAAAGCCATTGTAAGTTCAGAGAGACCAAAAGATTTTGATTCTGCCATGGTTTTCATAATAAAAGAGGAAATTCACTTTTACCAATGCCTCTGGCTGGTTTCTCGGCTTTACTCTAAGAAGGAGCGCTGAAAATACAAATTATTTTTCCGTATTTCCTGTACCTTTTAATTTATTTCATTTGTAACTGTGTTTTGCTGTTATTTTGGGCTGTAGATCAATGTTTGGAATAATTCCTTCACTCTTCACTTCCTTCACTTCTGCACAACATCCTGTACTGAAGCTACAGTAGCTGAGATATGTTTCTCTGAAGACAGTAGATCACAAATCAACCTCAATCTTCTAGATGTAAAGATTGGCACTTGGAAGTTGTTGTTTAAGCAAGGGAATTCTGATTCTGGAGGTCTGAAAAGTATTCATATTGTTGTTTCACACCATGCCTAAATTAGTTAATTTAGCAAATATATTACTTCATGGAACAAAAATTAAACAGTATTGGCCAAAAACAGGATTCGACCTTTCAAAATCCCCATGTTGATGAAATAAGATGAAATATCACCTTAGTTAATGTTTGTCCTAGGCGAAACATTTAGGATATTTTTGTACTATACATACAATTAAATAATATTCCAACCCAGCTCCCAGAAAACCAGAAACAATATATTATAGTATCACCATCACTTTACTGGGGCATTAGGATCTACACTGACCACATTTTGAGCACCCCCTACTGGTCCTAATAACATCTTATAGCAGCAACCTTAGCTTTCCCAGGAGGTCTCTCATGCAGGTACTAACCAGGCTCACACCTGCTGAACTTCAAAGAGTTGACAGGTGTGAGTTGCAGGGGGATATTGCTGCTGGCTAAGGGCAGGATTGTCTATTCTCTCAGACTCCTCTGCCTCTGACTGAGGCAGCCTGACTGCACGGTGCTACGTTGTTCCTGTTGGCTCATCCTGATGTGACAGCATTCCAACAGGACAGCACAGATCCTCATGCCGTTTGTGTTACAACAGCTTCTTGCGAGACAAGAACGTCACAGTTATGCTGTCAATGCCCCACTTGCCAGACTTGAGCTCCATCAAACATCTGTGGGAAGAGCTGGAATGAGTCATCTAGGGCTCAGAGACCAGAGATCAGGCACTTGCTGCTCCAGGCTGTACGAGAAAAATAGGACAGAATCCCACAAGGTCACTGCCACCTGGTATCACAGATACAGTACAGGTTGTGTTGCTTCCTAAAGGGGCCACACTCACTACTAGCCTGAGACTTCCACGGCAGACCTCCTGTTGATGACAAATGTTAATTGACTTAATAGATCTGCCTCTGAAAGGTCTGTTCAATTAAATGTCAGTGCACCTCCTACAAAAAAGATTATTTTCCTGACTTTGTGAATCTGTTGCAGTGAAATGATGGACTTTTTTTTAATGTCCAGCACATAGATTTTCCATTAAGATAGACATTCATCATCCCTGAGAAAGCAAGTTATCCAGCATGGCTTGGATAACGAGGGACTTCATACAGGGCATAAAGAGTATGAACTGTGCAAGTGTGTATATAGGCCAAGCAGTACATAAAACTCTGTTCGTTTTATAAGAAAAATTAACTAAACACAGGGCAGCACAGTTGTTAACACTGCTGCCTTGCAGTGCTGTGGCCTTGGGTTCAATTCCAGACCTGGGGTACTATCTGTGTGGAGTTTTCATGTTCTTCCTAGGTTCATTTAGATTTCCCACAGTCCAGGGACACACTGGTAGGATGATTTGCTTCTGGTAAATGTGTTCTGCTCGGAGTGTGTGCTCGTCTGTGCCCTGCAATGGACCAGCACCCCTGCACCCGTTGCATGCTGGGATAGGCTCTTGCCCGCCCAAGATCCTGTATTGATTTAAGCGGTTAGAACATGGATGGAAGAACAAAATACTATACAAATGTACAGGTAATTAAAAAAGTGACAATATATTGTATTTGAAAACTGCAACAAATGCCTCCCATAGTTCCTTGTGAAGTCCAGCGTTGTCGAAACTGGGACAAGGTTCCTTTTTACAAAGAAGCTGCTGGATTTAAGACACTGCACAAACCCTCTTCCTGCACAATGAGTGAGCATCAGGTGAGTAAATGTCAAGAGTCAGTGAAGAAATCACACACTTGCTACTGCTATGGGAAGAACAAAAGTTCATTTAACTGGTCTGCTGGCACCGGCATCGTATTTCACACTTGCGGTAGAACGTGTCCTGCTGTTAAACGGCAAGACCACAGCCGTCCTCGGGTCCTCTGTGTCCGCTGGGCAAGCGCCTGTACCTTCTGCTGCCGACTAACAGCCAGTGGCACTTTCCTGCCTCCTCTCCGACACCTATCTCCCCCCCCAAAAGAGCAGAAACGCTCCACAGGACGTTTTTTAAAAGCCGTGGGTAAGGCGGATTCTCACCGCAGGGAGAACGCAGCCACACTGACATGCTTTAACTGTGCCGGTACGAGCTACAGATACAGAGAGAGGGAGAGGCACCAGCGATGGATGAAGACATTTACATTTACATCTTACATTTACAACACAGACAATGAACGTAACCCTGTGGGTATTCCCACCTGACTTTAACAACAGCAAGACTCTCAGCCAAAGATGTCTATGTTGTCCCTGAGTTTACTGAGCCACTTGGATTTCTCTCAGCTTTATTCTAGAGTGATCGCCTCAATCCTTTCGTCTTCTTCTTTCTTCCTTATAAGGCAGTGGGCTGAAGTCTCTAACTCTCCTGAGGATGCTGTACAAATTCCTCTCTTCGTTCTGTAGGCCGTTGCTTTTCATCCTTCTAACGCTGATATTTCGCATAGCTCACATGCAGGAGAATGCCAAATATTTACAACACTGAGCATCTGAGCACAGGTTTCCACACAGAAATACAGCCCAGGTGTTCTTTGTAGCAAATAACTTTATGCTGCTTCTTTAACCGTGGGCCGTGCTCATCACAGCTGAATTCAATCTCCAGTTAATATGTTTTTATATCAAACATTCCCCAGGTCAGCGTGAAGAGAAATTACATTTTTTCAATGCTTTGATGAAAAAGCTAAATACTCTTGCAGAAGTAATGATAGATATTCATGGGAATCAGTGACCTTTGTCTTCTCTAGCAGTCCATCTCCATCCTTTCACTGTTCATTTAAAAGTCTTCTTTAACACCAGGGAACAGGTTGGGTCTTTTTAACAGAGATGTCTGACGTGAGATCCCCTTTACTGTGTAGAGCAACAGGGTGGGAAGGGCAAAAAAGCAAGAAAATATCACAGTATTGGAAATGTATTATTTAAGGGCCCGCTTTTCCTTATGAGGGTAAGGACTTTCAGCTAAGAATATGTCTTATACCACGTGGATTTTTATGAGAAAACAACCCAGCTGCCGACGTTTAATCAAGCAGAAAATCTGACTGATAAATGACAAACGTGAAAATCTGAGTGTAGAACAGAGTTTCCTGTTTTATGTCAACCGCAAAAACCGCCCACTTTTTACTCTTTTTAGAGCGCTCTCTAAAATAAATTGCTGCAAGTCTAAGTGACGCTCCCCTCGGCAAACTTAAAAAAAGTCACATTGCTGCAGGAAAAAAAAAAGTATAATATACACTTGAAATGGCTATCACCACTGCATGGTGGTGCACCTGACTTTCACCTGAATTTACCTCAGGTAAAAAAGTTGCACTTTTTAATGTAAACTCGCTTAGTGCCCTAAAAAAGCAGTCTCGGCGTTTTAAAGTTTGAATTCGACTCGATCAATCTGCTGATGTTTATCCCCCTCTGCAATGCGCAGGAACCGTTTGAGAAGAGACCGGCGGCAGAGAATAAGCATTGTACATTAGAAAATGCATTAGTATCCAGTTACACTGAGCTCCCGGAAGCTGTTTCCCTGAATGGACAGATTCTCGAAGCACAAGTAAACAAATGATTAAAATGTATCCGTATCACCCTTTCCTGCCCCCAGTCAGCCTGGGGACACCGTGTGTTCCACTCGAATGGTGAAAACAGTCCTTCTAAACCCATGTAACTCAGTAAGACGGGTGGGGCGCCTTCTCGGGGCTGCACTGGCATGACTTACAAATAAAGACAACTGGCGCGATTCTGTGGGCGGCGTGGCGAAATCCCACTTCTGTACAACACGCTCAGAATGAAGGTTTGAGACTGGAAGGGTGGTGAAGTCCATCTTCCTCTCTCTGGCCCGTGTCCGTGTGAGAGTACATGTGCTAAACGAGTCTAACGGGTTATTTTGGAACCGGGTGTCAAAAGTCGTGACAGATATGTGAACTGCTGGCCTATGGTGTAACAGATGGGAGTCAAATAACGTGTTTGTTTTTTTTCTTTAGTTCGGAACTGGTGTTACAAAAATACAACACTGTATCTTGGGATTTCTCCGAGTCCGTGGTTTATGGGTACAGCTCATGAGAAATAAACAGCCTCACTTCTCTGTCTGCATTTTATATTTCTACGGGTGTTACTTGCATTTTTAGAAGGTTTCAGTTTCCGAGGACATCTAAAAATGACCTTGCATATTGTACCCCTCACATTCATAGCATAAAGTTTATAGAAATGTCAAGACTCTTGGACGGAGTTGAAACGGTGCACAAAATTACTGTAACTACATTCATAGTGCAAGGCCGCAATGTAGTTTTATCCGACCTGTACGGATAATTACAGGTCTCCCTACAGAGGGTTGCGGATTGGCTTTTACGACTTTGCTGCTGTCTGACATGATGCCTGGCTATAATTCATTCCTTCCTGCTTTCAGGAATCCATTCCTCACTGCCCAGCTCAGATCCAACATTCTCCTTTTTAGGGCATGAGAATGCATGACGTAATTTGGGAATGATCTCTGCTTCGTCTCTAGCAAACACGGGAGGGGTCGGGGGCATTTGAGTGGCACAGCAGCCGACCAATTGGAAGCGCACTCTCCCGCTGACGCCGCGCCCCTATTGGCTGGAGGGGCGAGGAGGAGGAGTGACCGGCGGCGCCGTGGAGTAGGTTGCTCGCTGGGAGCCGCAGCGTAGAGTCTCACAGTTGCTGGTTGGAGGGGGAGTGAGACGGGGAGTTTTCTCTTTAAAGTGAAATTGTCCTGGAGAGGAAAAAAAAACCCGTTTGGAATTTCTTCGTAGGAAATAGAAGCAAGCGAAATTTTAGCGTTTTGAGCTATCGCTAGCGGCTTTTCTTTTCCCGACTTGTTGGATAGTGGGTTGAAGTTTTTCAACATGCCAGTGTTCCACACGAAGACGATAGAGAGTATCCTGGAGCCCGTGGCTCAGCAGATATCCCACTTGGTGATCATGCATGAGGAAGGGGAGGTGGACGGCAAGGCGATCCCCGACCTGACCGGACCCGTGGCCGCCGTGCAGGCGGCTGTGAGCAACCTCGTCAGGGTGAGTACCACCGCTGGGTCACCTGCCGGCCGCCGTGGCCGAGCTCTCCCCGGGACCCGCTCCGCTCCGCGCCTCTCGCTGCGTGCTAAAGGAAACTTGGGAAGTTGTTTTTAAAGGAATGGAAGGTGATGGAGTGTTTTCTTACATTGCCTGCCCTGCGTGTGTGTGCCGGGGATGGGCTGGCTGTAGGCTGCTCCGTGTCTGTTGGAGGGCATTATTCCAGCCCGGGATTGTCAGCTGTACTTTTTTAAACTGCCCTGTCTTGGATGCCGTGCATATGTTGATTTGGCTATGAAATAGTTTTTTTTTAAAAAAAAGAAACGTTCATTTTATACGTGGATTATTGATGTTGTATTATAATGGATCTGTGTGCGGATTAGAGTGACTTGTAACTTTCAGAAGGGGGCTGCAAATTTCTAGATCGGTGCAATATGATGTATTATGATTGCATTAAGATGATTGATGGGTCTTTTTTAAAATGCCCCATACTGAATTCTTCAGGCACACGAAGATCGGTGCAGTGTCCTGTGCTTGAGAAGTTCAGTGAAAGCGATGTGGAGTAAGGCACCGGAGCTGCCTGTGGGCGGTGTTAATGGGTCTCTAAGCCTGGACCCGCCCGGAGCGCAGGAGAGCGTCTCTGTGGCAGTTCCTCGGACCCAGGCAGGCGGCCGCTTGGCGGGGCTGAGCACGGAAGTATCAGTCATTTCAGTGAAAATCGACCGAAACAGTTATAACAAAACTATGTGTACGGTTTGTTGACAAGAGGCTTGGATCTTTTCATTTTGAGCTTATCTCTTTATCTCACTCGCGGACAGTAGCTAAGACTCCCAAGTATGGGAATTTTCTTTTGCTTAAAATGGGTATGAAAGGTTTTTATGGCGATGGTAGCGTTGCGTAGGACAACAGGAAGAAACGTACATTCATCATTCATGGAATTTCAACAACCCAGTATACAGATATGTGATCTGAAAGAGAGAGTAGTTTTCCCGACTCGTTAAATTCACTGACATGTTAATCGGGTGGACAACTTCTTTTACTCCACATCTGTTTGCATCTCAACTTTTCAACCCGCTGCAAGGAAGCCGAGGGATATCTGTAGTAGGAAACGCAGGTGGGTCGCCTGTCGGCAATGCTCACTTTGAAGAGACGTCTTCTAGGCGCCTTGAGGAGCCTTTGCTCGGTGTGATTTAATGACACAAGAAACGCAAGCACAGCCACGCATCAGCTGAAGAACACTGCCAGTCCCCAGCAGAAAATAGGCACTCAGTTTCCTAGTGAAGTATCCCTGTGAGAGTGCGTGTAGATTTATCTCCTGCAGAGACATACCCCGTAGTGTCTACTCCAACTGGGAGACCCTGAAACCGTCTCTAGCCTTCAGCGCATTTCGCTGTCTTGCATAAGTGCCTTTGCGAAACATCGTGCGCCCTCGGAAAGGAAGTTTCCGTTTGTTTCACAACTCGCTCCCAGACGGGGTCGTGGTTGGGGTCGCCAGTGGCCCCGACTCCCATTTCTCAGCTTTGTGGTCCCTCACTGCTTCAAGGTGAGGATGGAGGTACCTCTTGTACAACGGCTGGCGTCAAGGCGTCCTTGGAGTGATCTGGCAGCGGCGTCGCCTGCGACACCACCTTCCCAAGCGCTGTGGTCACGGCCCGGAGGTTTAGTAAAATCTTAACTAAATCCCTGTAAACGTACGTCCTTCTACTCTTCTGTCCCTCTTAACGAGCTCGCGGATAAAGCATTTCATTGCCGACAACACCGCTGTATGCTGTTCTGTTCGTGCATTGATAAATAAACCTCCATTGATTGATTGGTTGAAATCGGAGTTCCTGGTCCTGGCGTGTCCGACAGGGGCTCGCTGTACCCCAGCTACTGCACAAATGGGCTCGGAGGTCTCTGGGAGATGAGCTAGCGCCCTGCCGGGGTGGAGGTCTGTGTTCCTGGTCTTTTCAAAAGCTGCAGCACCCTGGGAAGAGCCGGGAGCCGACGAGACTGGAAAAAGGGTATTACCAGGGTATGGCCAAGTGCATCAGGCGACAGGTTGCAGTTTGTGCTGAAAAACAGTGAAACAAGCACAGGCCGTAATTGTAATGCTTGCCTTTTTTAGAACCGAGTGTTAGCCTTCTCCTTGAGTTAGGGCACTGGAGTGCTGTTGTTGCAACATTGTTCCTATTGCTGTTCCCCATAGTGGTATTTCTTTCCTCTAAACTAAAGCAACATGTTGCAGGTTCAGCAGAGGCAGTGGTTTCCTGAACTTGCAAGGAATCGTTTGTTTAAATAACTGCTTAGGTGACAAAGCTATTCACTGCCATTCTTTTCAGGTCCCAGAGGTTACAGTTAGAAGGGTAACTTCAGCGCCATTACTCTTACAGTCAGATTTGTAGTCGTGTCATATTTTAGTTAATCTACATTAATATCATGGCCCGATGGATGAACATTCCCAGCTGTTTTTTTCCCAGTTGTAACGCAAATGATTGTGGCCGTCTCCGACTACATTCTTCAGAAATCCAAACAGATAACCTATATTCTTGTTTACAAAAGCATTTTTGGAGGAATTTCGAATGGAACTGTTTGGCGGTATAGTTGTTGGTAAACAGTATAGCTGTTTCCACGTTGACTTTGAGCCTTTTTGTAACATAATGTGCTTCTGTCCTGCGCGGTCAGGTGTTGTCTGTTTCCTGACCTCTTTTAGTTCAAGCCACAATTGTTTTAATTTCCTTCGACCTGTTTTAATGCAAAATGTTTTTAATCTGATCCCCCCATATCGATAATATGCTTCATCTAGAATGAGGTGGGAACACTCTGGGAATTAAACTTTTTAAGGTCAGTGCTATATTAGTGCATTATTAGTTCATGCACTTTAATTTAATAAAACATGACACCATATTAACTGAAAGGTTCTCTGTCCTGCTTTGGCTATCACACTGATGTGAACTTGGCAAACTGCTCACTCCAGAGCCCAGTAATGGCATTTGGGTGAGATGATAGACACTAGACTGTGCAAGCTAAAAGCATGCGCTTCTTGGAACTGAAGTAGGTCATTTAAGAAGGGTTATAGAAACGATTGTGCTAAATGTGCATTGTAGTCGTTTTTTTTCCTTTTAAGTGCAAGAGTTCTGCTAGCCAGAGTTTCTGCCTTGGAGCTGATTACTCTATGTAAGGATCACGCTAGCAACAAAGAGGTAGGCTAGCTTTGCATCGTGAAAATGGGGAGACGACTCTCGACTCATTTTTACAAACCCGTATTGTCTTCCAAGCAATAGTGCTCACTGCCGCTACTAGTGAGATGGCTGTGGTAAAATCAATAATGGAAGTCAATTAAAACCGCTCAGCTGAGCTGATTTTTGCACAAAGCGATCTTCCTGCGGGGGAAATCTTTATTTAAGAGGAGCATAACTGATCTAAGCTTTTAGATGAAGAGTCTTTCATACTGGAGACATATTTTTAAATAAAAACTGCCATCAGGCCAAACTGCTGTGAGTGCCATCGATGCATTTAAATACCACCTGCACCACACAGACAGTTTTTCACTGTAGGTATTTTTTGGTGCTATGGAATGGTGATATTAGTCACGTGTCTTGCTCAAAGTAGGAAGATGTGATTATCTGTTCTGTGGACATTGGGGTTTTTGGTGGGATATCATGATTGTAGTTGCAAGTGTTTGTGGTGTTAACATGTTAAAGCAGCACAAACGGGAATGTTTTTTTTTTCCTCTTATAGTCTGCATAGACTTGCTGGTGTCACATCAGCATTTGTAGGGTGTCAAAGCAGAGGGGAAGCCTAGCAAGAATCTTTGGTACCAAGATATCTCATACTGTAAGCCCTTGGGCTGCATGTAAGATCATCTTCTGTTGGCCTCAAATGGCATCATATGTTTATGGAAAGTTTCCTTGTACAAAATTATTTTTTGGGTGTATTCTGAGGATTAAAATCTTACTTGTGCATGTATGTTTTTAGAAAAATGGGCTGGATTTTTTTTGTCTTGGATAAATATTTTTGGTGTGGTTTTGGTAAGTTGATGATGTCACGTTAACTGTTGTGTAAGCACTTTAAATCCCTTCATTAGTGAAGATGTTTATCGGACACAGGGGAAGAGTGGATCTAACCATTCTGAATGTCAATTGTGGTGAAAATCAAGGAAAGCCAGAAATGAACCAATGTGCCTTGCTTAGCAAGAGAATGCTGCAATGCTGCCATTGGTATGTTGGAGTCTGGACTGAGTCAGTGCGCTGTCACTCGCTGTCTGAAGGGCTCACAGCCAGCAAATTCTAACTGGCAAGATGCTGCAGTCTGTCAATGATCGGCCACAATCTGGGAGATCGTGAATCATGACTCCATGCTGAGACTGATGGGGAGGTGCAGGTGTGCAGGTCAGGGCAGGAGTCTAGTCTGTCAGACTGCTCTTGTAAAAGATGATGACAGTCTGACTGCGTGATGCTACACCGATCACTTCCTGGGACCCCACTTGCTGCTTTACCTGTGGGCTCATCCTGATGGGACAGAGGAGGATGTTATAATGTGGATGCCCTACCTATTTTACTTGAACCCCCTTCGAAAATATGTGGGATGAGCTGGGGTGACTTGTGGCACCAAGAGCCTGGAAACCAGTGACTGGTCACATGCTCGTCCAGACTGTCCGAGAGGAATAGGACAGAATTTCTCAAGGCCACAACCTGGTGCAAAGCCTGTATCCCAGACAGAAGTTGTGCTGCTTCCTAAAGGGGCCACACTCACTACTAGCCTGAGACTTTGGGAGCAGACCTCCTGTGGATCAGCTCTGTTGATGCCAGGTGTTAATCAGTGTGGTGCATTTACCTAGGTCATGTCTGTACAATTACATGCAGGGCACATTCTACAAAAAAAAAAGATTGTGCTTCTAATAACTATGAATTCATTCCAGTTGTGAGTGATAAGTTTCTTCTGATGCTCGTTATATGTGGAATTAGCTGCTGGTCTTACTCTGGCTTGTACCCTTTGAAGAGGTAAATTTAATGCTCTCTTTC